GGGGTCTTTGCTTTGCAGTTAAAGTCCTTATGAGTGCACAATTCGTTTCTTTGCTATAAAGGAACTACATTCCACTTTTATTACTATGTTTATTTTGGGCATCAAGTGAGATGTTTGTTTTTGGAGCTACACTATATTTGAATATCATAACAGCATGATTTAATAAACAGTAAGGCATTAGAGCAGGGGTCTCCAACATGTCGATTGCGAGCTACCGGTAAGTAGCTCGCCAAGCAAATCCAAAATGTATAAAATACACAAAACGAAAAAGGAAATGTAATTAAAAGAATCAACCCTATGCATAAACAAAACCTAAATCATAGCGAACTCTATCTACTTACTACAACTCTATCTAACACCCCTCCTCCCCCCACCCCCACAATGAATATCGACCAATCACGTTCTTGCTTGATTTGCGGGACCAGCGTTGCAGTCGGGAAGAAAAGCAATGTGGAGCNACCTCACCGCTTCATAAGGAGTTTAACCTTTCCCTCTGGCAGAATCTACACAACACATCGGCCCCATTGAACACAGCCTATCCAGCCTATACAGCACATGAGGGGCAGAGCTTTACTCTGTGTGTTGCAACTTATAAATTTTATTTATTGCACTTGACGCACGGCGTAATCTCCACTGGGGATATGTCCCCCCCACTTTCGAAATCCCGTTTGTGTCCCCTTTACAAATATGTGTTTTTTAATTTTTTAACGCAAGCCGTCATCGCCACGGAGGAGCACACAGCCTCTGTGAGCGAGCGAGAGAGAGAGAGAGAGAGGGAGCGAGCTAGGGAGCGAGAGAGAGAGAGAAAGAGAGCACATATCTATTTAATATAGTTGTAACACCGAAAGAGAGAAATCATTCCAATGTGTATAATGTATTTAAAAGGAGAGTGATTAATAAAATATGCATAAATAAAAACATAGAATGCTAACTAGGTAATTGAACAGCCTAGTCGTGCAGCCTATACAACACATGAGGGGCAGAGCTTTACTCTGTGTGTTGCAAATTGCATAGTTATAGCACTTGACGCACACACACGCATGGCGTAATTTCCACTGGGGACAGGGGGGACATGTCCCCAACTCTTTTCGAAATCCCGTTTGTGTCCCCTTTACAAATGTGTTTATTATTATTTTTTAACGCAAGCCGTCATCGCCACGGAGGAGCACACAGCCTCTGTGAGCGAGCGAGAGAGAGAGAGAGAGAGGGAGCGAGCTAGGGAGCGAGAGAGAGAAAGAGAGAGCTAGGGAGCGAGAGAGAGAGAGAGAGAGCTAGGGAGCGAGAGAGAGAGAGAGAGAGAGAGCACACCTTTATCTATTTAATATAGATAAAGTAAGAAATCATTCCAGTGTGTATAGGACAGTAAAAAAAGATGTTTGGATTATTGAAAAGTGTACAGCTCCCTTTCATCTGAGTGTTGAGAGCTGTGTCCATAAATTCATGTTGTGCTCAAAGTGCACCAGATCGATGCATTTAACTTCAACATTTTAAAAAACATCTTCCCGGGGGAGCGTGCCCTCGGACCCCCCTAGAGGATGTGATGCCCCCCCTAGAGGAGGAGAGGACCCTCCTAGAGGAGAGGCCCGTCCACCCCCAAATAAAGCAGGTTAAATATAATTAAATTGAATACATGTTATTTTAGTAAACTGAAAATGGGTCCCACAGACCCAAACAGCACACAAAGGTTAAAGGTCAGTATATAATAATGTTAAAATGTGCTAAATATATACACTGCAAAAAACAAAACAAGGAGTAAAAGTAGCCCCCGACTTGTTTTATTTTTTGAAAGTAGCTCTCATCCTAATAAAGGTTGGAGACCCCTGCTTTAGAGCTAACGTTACACAGACAGAGGTCAGGAATGAAAACGCTCAAATGTGCATCAATGTGTGTGTAACCATGTGAGAGTACGTTTATTCATGCTTACAGTTTGTGTGTGTGTGTGTGTGTGTGTGTGTGTGTGTGTGTGTGTGTGTGTGTGTGTGTGTGTGTGTGTGTGTGTGTAGAGTGTGTGAGAGAGAGTGTGTGTGTGTGTGTGTGTGTGTGTGTGTGTTTGAGAGAGAGAGAGAGAGAGAGTGTGTGTGTGTGTGTGTGTGTGTGTGTGTGTGTGTGTGTGTGTGTGTGTGTGTGTGTTGAAGCAGGATGTAGGTCAGTGCTGCTAACTCATTCATGCCAGAGGTTGACAAGAAACACACTGACACAAAGTGTGTGTCTGTCTGTCTCTCA